TACTTTTTGTTATTAATATTAGTATCTATTTTCAGGTGTATTTATATAGTATTATTCTAAATGTTAAAAATTTTAATTATAGTACGGAACCAAACCGAACCGAACCCGAACGGTTCCAAAATTATATTTGGAACTGACGGTTCCATTTACTAAATATTCGAAAATTTTCGGAACCGAATCGACCCGCGCTCACCTCCTAAACCCATCTACCCCCATCGGGCCATCCCCACCCATCTCCTTCCTATCCTTTCATGGTGAATTTGGCTTTAGCCTCAAGGAAACACGAAGCTATAAGTGTAGTTTTCATGTTTTAAGAAGAGTAACAAATCCTTACATAGCAAAGAATATGCATGGATGAGTCACATTCGTGTCATTCATATGAAGAGAGAGAATAATTGCTACAAGAACACAAGCACCCCTCTGCAAGACTGCAACCTACAATGGGGACAATGGAGTCCACTGCCCCTACTCTAAATTTGAGATCCAATATTTTACAATAAATTTTTTCAAGATTTTACACAAGATAATAAAATTTCTTTAAAAAGTCCTTATAATTTTCAATTGTCTCCACAATTAAAATTTTGTGAAATTTGCCCACACTGTACTCTTGTCTCCAGCCTACAAGCACCCAGAAGCTTGTGAAGTTGAAATTATAGCTATTTCACTTTCGTAAATGTGCCAAATTGTATAAGCAGAAAAAAGAGCACAGAGATATCGACGGACAATTCCTAACCACTCTGAAAAACCAAACTAGTGTTATACTATTATGAACAAGTACGTGAAACCTTTCGTGAGTATGACATTATGAACATGCACTTCAAGTATTCTCCGCTCAAACTTCAACTGAAATAATCAACCTCGGTATACCGTATACACTGGACTAAGCAGAAACAGAAGCTTGAAACACAACAAAAGAACAGTTGCGTGACCAAAATACAAAACAAAAACAGCTAATTAACTTAGAAAACACAATTTTATAATGCTTGAAAGCTTAGCATCGATCATCCTCAAGATTCTACCTTACAATCCCTCAAATCGACAGAGTTCGCCAATAAGATTTAACATTTTACCAGTGGTGTACGCTATTCAAAGGTAGAGTGAAATCAAATATAGTTATTTGCAGCACAGTGAGATCCACATTCACAAACCCCTAACAAATCACTGAGTTCCTGCCTTGACAACTTTCTGAATGATAACAAATGGTTGGTCAATAGTACCACCACAAATTCAAAGACAAGAGAGCAATCCGGATTTTGACAGCTTACTTCATTAGCCAAATTGGTAAACAAAAAACTAAGCTCCTATTGGGCCCTACTGCGCTTTGAGGTAGGCAACTGCGAATCCAACTTTTGAGTATTTAGCCGTGATTAAAAGAGCAACAAAGCTGCTCAATTAGAAAGCTTATCAGAGATACCCATACAACACAGTGTAGAACAGGAGTCTGCCAAAGAAAATCCAAGTACCTGGAAGAAAGTGATGAAACATAGATAGTCAAACGGTTTCTCATTCAAATAGAAAAAAATATATCACAGCTAAAAATGATCTAAAATTATACTATGCACTATAGCAACAACAAAATTCAGGCTATACTATGGAATCCAGATCCAACAAACTACTGCTTATTCCCAATAAATTAGGGATTGGCTACATGAATTAGCCACCGTGTTCGTTTTATTGCTATTATGCAATCTAGTTAGATAAGATAGATAATGAAGGCAGGAGAACAGATTTGGCATCGATTAACAGGTGGTATATTATACATCTAAATTTCCAAATACTAAGAAAATTTTGAAAATATAAGCCCATTCTCCCACCGGGTTAGTATTGTTAACAGTTACGTATTTACATTGTATAGATGTTGGGGATAAGTTTCCCTGTGTTTGTCATATTTTCCATGAAATCACATCGACACGGCTGTCCAAAAATTGGGAAATCACATCAAAATTAGATGGTTATATCATTTGCTTCCACGCTTTTGTCTTTAGGATGTCATGATGAATTTGGTTCAGTTCTAAAAGGTTCATTACTGATTCACTGTAACACTTCCTTTTGCATGTGACACGCTAGCAAGGTGGCACACCTTGGTTTTCCTCACTTTCTAAAGAAGCATGGAGACAGGAGGGGATACAAATGTGATATAACATGAACACAGATTAAAAATTAAGATATGAGATTCATTTGATGATGTTGTTACACATTACAAGAATATAACACTCTCTTGATCTAATATTATTTGGCACACTTTCAGTAAAAAATTTCACCACCCAAAAAAAAAATTACCTTTAGATTTTCATACTAACCATTCGAAGTTGAGACTTGAAAGTTAAGAAACAATGTTGTACAGTATCAAATACATTTTTGAGGCATGTTTTTAGATAGTGAATCTTAAATTTGAAACTTTGATGTTTGGTGGTCAGGTGTCAAGCATAAATCCTTTTAACTTCGTGCCAAGAGATGGTGTGATAAGTAATATGAGATTGCAGGAATATCTAATAAGATACCTTCTAGAGTCACAGAATTGCCGATATTGTTAGAGAAGTAACAAACGCATGTAAGGGAGTGTCCAGCGAGTGTTAGTGTCAACAACTTTCTTTTTAGGACTAAGGCAATTAATAAATTTCCACTAAAGGCTGCATATAAACCTAGGGCTAGGTTAATATCTTTGCTTATGGGGATGCGTGACCAATACGGAACCGGATGCGAAAGTGATTGGTAAATGTTTTAAAGGTGTAGACTCTAAATAATGCGACAAAATAATGTTTAAAACCAATTCTAGTACAATGCATATATGGCTACAGTTTGAGAAGAATAAAATATATTCACTATTAATTGTACATAAAGGGGAAATAATGTGACTACCTGCAACAAAATCCTCTAGAACAATTATTTGTTGAGAGAAATAGCCGTCACTGAGCCATCATGCTAATCTTTTTGATAAGACCCGCAGAATTCTTTCAGATGCAAAACAGAAATTGATGAGCGCCTCTTTGGCCAAAACTTCTTTCAGATTCAACTGTAAAAGTGAGCAGTAAATTCAAATAAATGGTGCAGTCAAAGGAAGAGACATGTAAACTAGCTAATATTTCATAAAAGAAAAACTTAATTGCAAATAAAAACATTTACCAGAAAGCACTAATCCCAGCTTACTTTTTGGCACACTCATAACTGCATACATTCATCTGCAACTCCTAGATTTAGCTCTCTGATCCAATGTTCATCAGTGGCTTTTATCTTTCTCAGATCAGTCATCTTTGATACATAAATAAGAGCTAAACAAACAGCTTCTTATGGCAACACAAGTAATTATCCCTCTTTTTCAGGAAACATTTCAAAGCATCGTAATAAAGAGCTATGAGTCATTTCAATGTAAATTTGACTCATTTCAATGTATATTCTTTAAAAGAAACCCCTACCACGTTCTTAACTATGTTAAACATCTAACATCTGATCTTAGCATGCACCTAAACACATCCCTGAAAATATTCTAGTTATAGGTTGAATTGGAATGACAGGTTTCAGGAACCTTTCCACTAGATAGAAGGATGCTAGTTCCTGGTTTAATTGGATAGAATTAAGAGTAAAATCCTTTAGCACCCTTCAGATTGCTAATACAACAAGAAATTGAAGAAGCAAAATAAGAGATGGTGATGATTAGTCATGCTCGTAATAAGATGTGGGAGACTGGGAGTTCAGATAATGACAGTGACAATAAGGAAAAATCAGAATGATGGATGTCTGAAAAGATGAAAATGTTCACTATTGGCTTCACCAAATGTGACATTTGCAGATTTATACAATGTGGCTATTCTAAAGATGTCAATCTTGTCAACTGAACTGCATCTTCAGAAGAACAGATTTTGAGTAAATACTGAATTCTGTACATCTCCAACCATGAGAAATGAATTTACAAGAAAACAGTTGTTTGTCCTCCAAAGGACAGACAAAAGGTGATAATCATGTTTGGAGGATTATTTTATCACTGTGGCTCGATGTCATTACTACCAGAGGGTATCTGTCTTGCCTCCGACAAAGATTGTCGCCTGTTGCTTGTGGAGCCCGCCTCCCTGTGCCCTTCTGATGACAAATGTAAAGCACCGGTCCCTGATGATGAAGCCAACAAACGATGAATTGCTGGAGAATCTGTTGGCAATGATGCAGCAGGGCTGTGTGATAAAACCTCCATTGGATGGTCAAACTTGCAACTTGGACCAAACTTGCAGATTCCATATTGAGAATAGAATTTACACAGAAGTTCCCCCTAAAAAACAAAAGAAAGGGGAGAAAAACATTTAAGAAAGAATGCTGAATCATTCAAATAAATGGTTATAGGACTTGGTACCAAGAAGGATGAAAAAAGCAAAATGCCTCTCGTCCTCCTTCCCTCTTGTTAACTGCTTTCTCTTGTTCTTTCTTTCCTTAATAATTTTTTTCTGATTTCAGGCATCTTAGGAATAATGTCAAAACATAATCGAAAACTTAGTATAGAAATGCAAGACCAACAGTTATGAAACAGGATTTTTTTTTTTTAATTCTCTAGAAACAACCCTGGTTAATATACCACCTATTTCTTTCAATGTAGCAAACCTACTGTAATCAAAACTCACATTTCGTAATAAACCTGAATCGGTGAACTCCAATGCAGAAGAATGGCAAACAAACTTCTAAATTAAAAAGTATGGGAAAGTGAAGTTATAGAAAAACTATTCCACAGTAAACTATAAGATGAGAAAAACAAGTTGTTCATTACATTAATAAGATGCAATCACATTGCTTTACATTGTCTACTAGTGGGTTTAATTTCATTTTCCTATTCTGATTTGCTTCTAAATTCTTATCAAATCCTTATTACTGTCCTGGAGTGATACTTTCGCATTAGATTAAGGTGACTAAGCGTTTAGAAGTAGAAAACACAAAGCATCCTCTTCTCTACTTTAGGGCAAAGGCTGGACAATTGATCTGCCAGACCTTCATTAGTGGGAGCATCGTGCATTGAACCTTCTACTTTATAGTGATCTTGTCCCCTTTCACTTATCCCACCCTTTTTCAGAGATTCACAATAGAGGAAAACGTGCAAGACCCTAAGGTTACTGGAATAAACTGTAGTCAGTGTATAATAGTTGTAGACAAAGGACTCTGAGAAGCAAAAACATGACAGATTATTGAACTAACAATGATAATCGATCCAATGACAATGCTGCAAACTAACTACTCGAAATGTCAGAACCAACAGATGTACCAGGTAAAGTATCCCCAAATTTGCAGAATCGTTTTGTCCATTATCCACGAACAATGTGCAAGAAAATACGATGTCACCACATTAAAATGAGGGTTATTTTTTTCTAAACAAAATAGCCTTTTTTAGCGTAAAACAGAAAATTGTCAAGCTTTTCATAAAATATATAAAAATGGCAATATTTGTTTTAATTGACGAATTTGCCATAATTAAAAATGGACACAGAACTCCCTGTTCGCAAAAACTACGACTTGCAGTAATTTAACAACAAATAGTCAAAGGGGAGTAGAATTTATTTTCTCTTTGCTATTTCAACATGAAGAGAAGAATAAACTTACTCCACAATTTTGGGGAAGGTGTAGAAGATCAAATAGAGTTTATTAAACCGAAAATGATGCTGATGGAAGTGCACATTCTGCAAATCCATATTCTGAATATAGATTGTGTCTCTCACCACCATTATATGTGGTACAGATCTCATCTTCCCAAGACCCATCTGCAAGTTTTTTGGAAGCTATAGAACTCAAAAATTGTTTTTTTGATTTCTTTACCATCTGGAGATGAAAAAGGTGGATATGGCCACAGCTGCAGCGCTCTGGTTTTCAATTTTTTTTCTTTGAAATATCTTCTATTTTCCAGTTTTCCTTCAATTTTCTTCTCAAAGACAGATAAGGATATTTTGGGAAAAGAATATACAAAGTTGCTAATCTGATAAAAGTTAATTTTAGTGGCCAATCCTAAGCGTTCAAAATTGACAATTTCCTCTTAAAATGATTTCAGAAGGCAAAAGTGCAGAACGAGCTTTTCAAGATAAATATTCAAAAAGCTAACATAAAAGGATTAAGAATGGCACTTGTACCAAGCTACATAGAAGATTATGAGATAAAATGACCAGAGATTAACTTACAGGCCGCAAGGGAAGTCCTATTGGATTCAGGAAACAGTCCGGAACAGGAATGAGTCTTTCTCTAGGGTGATGAAATTTACATACTGAACCAAATTTGCAGTCCCCAGTCTTCATATAGAACTGGCACTCTGGCTGACCAGGTCTCTCAGGAAACATATTCTCTCTATGAAATGCATAATAACCCACAGGTATGGAACCAGAATGCAATTGATCCCCCATATTGTCTGCCTCACTCTGGTGTGGGATATAATGATTATCACGATTTCCTGCTAATGATTGTAGACTTTCTGAAGATGAAATTGTACCCGGATGACTCTGTAAGGAAGCCATATCGTAATCAAATTCAGACCATTCAAGAATGTCATGCCTTTCAAGTAGTTAGGCAAGATTCAAATACAATAGTGTTTTCCACATTTAAACTAATTGCATCCAATATATAACTAAACACTTTGCAGCTGAGGACAAGATAACATAAACATTTTGCACAAGCACGGTCAATTTTGAGTTAAATATACCACAAAACTTAATGGATATTGCTATCATATCACTATGTGATGATCATCCATCATTAATTTAAAAACACAAAGATTAGATTTTAGAGGCAGTGGAGATGATCCTGAACAAAAATGTTTAGATAAAAAATGAAGTTATAAACAGCATATTGATTAACAAGCTCAATGCAAGTTCTAAGTCTTCAAAGTTCCAAGTTTGAATGAGCATACAGGTTGTGATACCCAAAGGGCAGTCCTCCAGTTAAAACTAAAAATTTTGACAAGCAAAAGTTAGTTTCACATTTATCACAAATAAAGCATTTCCTCATTTAAATTTACTAATTATATATGTTCTATTTTTACATGTTAATACATTTTACTCTTCTCGTAGCTAACATCGTAGTTCGTATATAATGTCTTCTTAAGAGATATGCGGTTCTTATTAGCTATGCGTTGAAAGAGCATGACTACTTGAAGATAAAGATTATTACTAAATATCACAATTATCAGTCCACTTTCTTGTTAATACCAAAGAGTGTTTGTTTAACGACATGGTCTAAAAGCTCAAACCGTTAGATAGGATCACATATTTATCATTTAAATATTATCATCAACAGACTCCTTCACGTGTAGTCAACATTCATTTTTCTATCAAAACCTAACACGTCCACAATCTTATTTAAATGGGTGGCAGCAATAATTGAACTCGAGATCTTTGCTTGCTCTAATATAATGTTGACCACTTGAGCTGTTAGATAGACTGCATATGTATATCATTTCCTCATTGTCTTCAACAGCATTCCTTTAAGTTTCCCTTTCACATTTTCCAGTTAGTTCTCCCATGTGGATAGGGGGATGTATGAAAATTTTGCCCTTCACATGTGTTCAGTTCTCCACTTGTAATCCACAAATAAAGATACCCTTCGCAAAATGTACTGAAAGATAACCAAATAGCAAACATACAAAAGGAAAAAACCACATCTGAAACAAAGTCGACCAAGAAAATGATATAGAAAGCATGAAATAAAATAAGAATCACTGAAAAGATTACTTTGTATGCGTTCCATCCTGAGACTGACACCACTCCCTGAGGCATAATCAGCGGTGCATAACCCGAAGGGCTTTGCCACCGTGTACTGGGAATAAAAGAAGTTTTTGACAAGGAAAATTGCAGCTGACCAGGAGTTGTTGGAGAGTGGATAGGAGGATAGACAGAAGAACCATGTAAGGGGACCATCATGTTGTTCGGCTGAGGATGGTGGAATTTACAAGTGCTTCCAAACTTGCACTGTCCATTTCTCATATAATAAGCACATTCCACCTCATTCTGCTTGCAATAAAAGAAATTGAATAAAGCTAAAACTAAAATATGAAACTTCATTCAATCCATTAAAGAATAACATTGGTTATAGATTATAAGTCCTACATCATATACGGTCCCAAAGTACACGCAGTTCTGAAGCTATACATCAAAACACTTATTGTAATCCCAAAAGTTATTTGCTACTAATTAATTTTTTTGAGACAATTAAATTTTTCAAGTTATTTGTTACTAATTATTTTTATACCTTTAAATTAGCCCCTGTTTGGCCCCCATTATTTGGGATTTTTGATAGTTGAAAATTTTTGGAATAGTGATTGATGGGAGAATGTGTGGTAGAAAAGTAATGAAAAATTTTAGATTTGTGTGTAATATTATTTTATTTGATGATGTGTGATTGTAATGAAGAAAGAGAAAAATTTAATGTAATGTAATTTAATTTGATGAGGGCCAAACAGGGGCTTAATAAGTTTTTGAACTCGTTTATTAGTGATAATGGTTACATTTTTATTTTATAATTTTGTATATTATATTTTCCCTTTTTGTGATGTAAAAATCGTTTATTAGTTATTGATCAATAATTTACGTGTATTATCTAATCAATTTATTTTAGTTATGTGAAATAATATTGTGAAGAATATTTCCCATATGTTTTGGAAAAGGGTTACACATATATATACAAAATCTAGGAATCTATCTAAGGAAAGAGTATAAATAAGGAATCTAGAATAATGCTAATCAACAAGTAATTACGACCTAATTACGACCTTTAACATTATAAATGGTTTACTGTTTCAATATATTTTCTTTGAAGTCGTATNATATTAATCATAATATGATCTGTGGCAAAGAGACCATAAATCGGTCTTGCTCCAATCCAAATAATTGGAGCCGTTAAGCTTATGGTCCGTGATTTTTGACATCATAAGAACCATATCCGATGCAACAATGGACTTCTTCTCAGCCATAACTTCTAAACAGAGATCAATGCAACAAACACGAAACAGGATAGCAAACACGAAATGGCCCAACAAGCCCGAAAACTAAATTGAGCCCAAACTTAGAGCCAATAAAATCCAACAGGCCCAATAACTAAAATTGAGCCTAAATAAATTAAACCCAATAAAATCCAACAGGCTCAATAACCAAAATTGAGCCCAAATAAAGTAAACTCAATAAAATCCAAACCTACCCAATCAATGAAATTAGGTACGGGCCCAACAACTAAATCAATAGCCCAATCAATTAAATGAGATCCACGCCCAGCCACTGATTCACTAAACTACCAGGCCCACAAACTCGCCCAGAGGCGACGCGATGCAGACGACGGGGCTAGAGAAACGAAGATGAAGATGATGCTTGCAACGACGACGAAGAAACTCCGACCAAACTCACAGATTCCGACTGCAATTGTTCAAAACGGCAACACCCAAGTCTTCAAACGGCGAAAGGAGCTGCAATTGCTCAAAACCACGACACCCGGATCTCAAACGGCAACTGGAGCAGAAAATTTGGCACCTGATCGAAAACTCACGATGCACACCTGAACTGCAACCCCCACAACGCAACTACCGGAGTATTCAAACAGCGACGGGAGGCGACGAGAACCCAAAATCACGACCACAGGTTCGAAAACTAGAAACCTAGGGCTTTGATACCATGTGAAATAATATTTTGAACAATATTTCCCATATGTTCTGGAAAAGAATTACACATATATATACAAAATCTAGGAATCTATCTAAGGAAAGAATATAAATAAGGAACCTAGAAGAATGCTAATCAACAACTAATTACAACCTAATTACGACCTTTAACAAGTTAAAATTAAAAATTTCAAACAAAATAAGTATATAAAATAATTATTTGATATTACAAAATGAATGAAAATATTGGACTAATTTTATTAAAAATATTTTCAGAAGACAGCAAATTGTCTATAGGTTAGATATGGTTTGTTACACAAAAGGACAACAAAGTGTTGCTTGTTTTGGTGGTAAGGTTATATTCTAGTTAGCTAGAGGTCAAGTGTTCGAATCTTTAGTCCCCTAAAATTTCAATGGAGAAATTTTTTGAAATTTGGTTGAAAATTAAACCGAGCCGAACCGGCCCGATAATTAATTAAAGCCCGCTAATTGACCCGGTCAAATCCGATTTTTTACCGGGCCACTTGCATTTATATAGCCCATGTTTGGTCAGGATCAAAATCTAATTTTAATCCAAATCAAAGTCAAACAATCAATATTAACCACATTTTTCATGAATCTTACAACTTTTCAACCACACATTTCAAAATTTTCTATCACAATCTACTAAAAATCTAATTTTAATCCCCACCAAACACCCTCATAGTATGCGCTTGCCCAGCCCGAAATAGGGTCCTGGCCACCAGTTTATCGGGCCGGGTCGGTTTTAATAACATTGATTTTAAAACTCAAAATTCCAAATGTGATGAAATAATGGCGATTATATCAGATATGTCTTGTGTATGGGAATAACATAAAGGAATGATGACAAAATGTCTAATTGCTTGAAATGTAGCTTTTTTATGACACCCATAAAGCAAAAATGTAGCAATAACAATTGGAAGGAGGGTTTATGACATGGATTGAATACTTCAAAAATTCCTCTTAGGAAGGAGCAGGGTGGCACTATATGACCAGATTACATTCCAAGTATCCAGGAATAAAAACCCAAGTATGACACTCGATAGAAACTTCCTTGGGGAGAAGATTCACGCAGAATAGATAAGTCCACTCATCCTGGCCCACAAAAATGTGGAAGAACTGCTTTCTCTCTAGTCATGCTTGAGACTAAATTACAATTTTCTTGTGTTACATGTACCACTGCCCATTGCCCATTTCAGATTATAAAATCGACTATATTTTTTTAACGTTCACAAATTGTTTCCAAGTAAATTCAAATAATAAATGGCAATTATCAGAAGGTAAAGCCCCCATACACATCACGTAAATTGAAAGGCAATTCAATTCCGGTGCACACACACTGAATCTGGTGTTACCAATATCATGCTCTAGATCATTTGGCCAAATAATTATGGGAAAGAAAATGTAATTTAAACCAGAGGAAAGGATCATGATCAGAATGTATAGTTTATCAAACTCTTTGGATTATCCTGAAGAAACAAAATCGGTGAGAATGATAGAGAGATGAAGTAAAAGGTGTGAACCGGGCGAAGTGGATAACCCATAACATTTAGGGCAGCTCTTCCAGCAATCCCAGCCTGATCTCTAGGATGATGAAACTTACACGTGGCTCCATACTTGCAGGACCCCGTTTTCAAGTAATACTGAAAATCAATTTAAACAAATGATTAGAAACAAAGCATGCTAGAATTGAAAATTCTAGTCCAAGCAACAAAAGATTGCAGATCCAGATGCAAGCAGAAATCATTCGTCCTCCAGAAAAGATAAAAAAATAAAAAATCAATGCAATACTAATTTACACAGGAAGTATGAGAGGGAAGGGAGTGTTGTTATCATATATCATATATCTGAAAAGAAAATGGACATAAAATGCAAAGTTGAATGCGATATCTTCAGTATCGTCATAAATATTAATGTAGATGGAAGGTGGCTAACTATAAGCCAACTACATATGATGCTACAGTGTGGGATGGTGCACTATACATCCATACCTGACATTCTGGTTGTCCTATTCTTTCTGGATACTCGCCTTTTATCCTTGATGCGTCAATAGCCTGAAGTTGAAAAAATAACATTTTACCAAATCCAATAATGCAGTGTCTCAGGAAGGAAGTTAACCTCCAAAAAGTATGGAAGTAGATACAGTCACACAAATGTCATAAGTACATGCTTGTATGCAATGTGCAAGCAGACCAGGTCGAAATTAGGAATAAAGTAACCTTCAATGTGACATCACAACGGAAAAGATAGAAATAAGATGAATTTGATATTTACATTTCATTTTCATGGGAAAATAGTTACACCTTAGCCAAACTACCTACAACCTTTTCAATTGGCTTTGAGTTTCGGATACGTAAACTAGAGACACTTCGTCTTAACTCATAATTTACCCCTCTAGTTATCAGACAGATGTCGTTAATCCCAAGTAATACTACTGGATTAAATAATGGATGGAAAAATATCATTTGAAGGCATTTACTGTTCATTCTCAAAATTATTGTGTTTGGTATCACGGAATGGGGTTGAAATTGGAATCTTGAATGATCAATTCAAATATAAACAAATCTCTTATGTGGAGGCGCCAATTCCATGTTGCAAAACTCCACTTGATAATTGATTTAAATTTCAAATATAGAGTAGCAAGCCGCAAATGTAGAGTTTCAATAGCTGCCACCGACATTGGTGTTTATAATTAATGACATTCAACCATACATCTTTATAAGCTCTAATTTCCAAGTCATGCAAATTTATATCTGAGGTCCTCACCTGGCTCCTATTAGGGGGGTGATTAAATCGGCATGTTGCTCCAAATCTACACAGACCTGTTCGAATATAATATATACAATCTGGTTCACCTTCTCGCACGGGATATTGTCCAGACTCCATTTCTTCCCTTGATCTGATGTTCATTTGCAATAAAGAATCTGAAAATATTAGCTGCTGTCAGTTTAGAATTCCAGCATGATATGAAGTGTAATTGACACCGTGTTATGATCCAATAGAATCCATGCTGCCTAATGAAACCAGCACTTTGTTTCTTTACTCAGGCCCTTATATAATACATGGACAAAAACGTATCCAACTAGCAAATTGCAATTTCTAAACTTTGTACCACAATTTCATTATAGAATTGTCAAAAAACAAAGAAGCAGTTAGCAAAAATTCAGGTACCAGTTTCCCAATTTGAATATTACAACCTTGCCCAGAGAAAAATATAAAATAAGGTAAAGATGACGTGGTTTATGAAGATTAATTTCAAGCCCCCCCACCCCCCTTTTTTCAATTTTACTTTCTCTTGCAGAGAACCGAAAAAATGATAATCGATTTGCAATAAATTTGAGAAACTGAATACTCCGTATTTTTTATAGCAGAAGAAATATGTATGAAGTATTTATAAACTAAAGATTGTGAACTTCTTCTGAAAAAAAATGAAAGACCATTCCTTACTCCTTTTGGCTTTTTGAGGTAAAACCCGTTCCTCAGGGGAGTTATCCCTAGAGGAGGATCCAGGATGGAAAAGATTCCATCTCCCACCCCCTTTTCGCTATTCCTTTAATGTCACCATCTCTTGCAGATAACTAGAATATAATAATTGATTTGCAAAATAGTCCACAAATTATAAAATAATTATTTTTTGTAGCAGAAGTTATATATCACAGATTTCTTTTGAAAACTAAAGGTCAATTCCAAGCCTTTGGCCCTTCAATGATTTTACAGAAAATTAAAATTAAAATAATAATTGGTTTGCAACATAATCATCAAGTGAGACTGTAATATTGCAGAGAACTAAAATATAAAAACTGATTCTCAATGTGTGTAAAGACCAAAAGTGAAAAATCACTATTTTCTATAGCAGAAGAATTGTGCAGGAAACATTGAGATGCTAAAGATCGTCCATTTATTCTTAAAAATGAAAGTTCTGTAGTAAATCGATTAGTATAAAAAAATAGTTTTCATGAAATTCGAATCTAAATTAAAATTTCATAAAAATAAATAACAAAGTGATTTCTCAAATTTAACCTTTAAATGCTTAATTTTCTTTCGCATAAACAAAAGTCAAGCAGTATGCATGTCGTCAATTCCCAGCAACAACCACCCATAAACAGACAAACAGGTACAAATTTGAGTGGAAAAAACATAAACGCGATGACAATGTTATGTATCTATGATCCGCAAGTGAAAAAAACATATAAATTACCAAAAAATCATAACAATCTTCAAGCAAGATCACCATTATCAAATCCATGAAAAACATAATAAAAAATGAGTAAGAATTAAGGAAATCCACCTTGTTGATGGTGGTGGTGGTGGTGGTAATGGTGGGGGGACGAGGAGGAGGAGGAAGAGGAAGCGACGGCGATGATAGATACAGACGACATGGGAATTCGCCACCCAACATGTCACTCAGACTCCTGCACTAGCGCTTTCAGCAGCCCATAATCAACGCCCGATCGCCATGTTCGTTTGAGGAGAATAAGAAAATTACGTTGCAGAGTAATTTGGTGCGATGAAATATGAGAAAAACAAGGTGTGAGAGAGAGAGGGGAGGGAGTGGAGTGGTTCTTGTCTGCTCTCCACGGAAGGAGAGAGAAGCAGAGAATTAAAACCAGCCTACCATCCACCGAATGAATGAATGCGGCTGTTTTGTCGATCCCACACGCCACTCCCGCGCGTAGCCACTATTCTCTGTACCTTGGTTGTCTAATAGGAAAATTAAGGTAACCCTACCTAAACTTTCAAGTGCTGTGAAAATGGTTCTCCAAGTTGAAAAAGTGAGATTTCGACTTTTCAATCCGTATAAATCTGAATTTGGATTCTTAGGTCATCGAATCCATTAATTTGGCGGTTAAAATGTTAGTTTTTATTTGGAAAAGACTATTTTGCCCTTGTGTTATGGTTCCCATTTTGATGGTGAAATTAACTCATTAAACAAATTCTTTTAAATCGTAGTTTTTAATTTGTTCTTGAACACTTTTGAGCGTTTTGATGTGTGTGTTCGTGTTGTTTTGTAGTTGGACAAATTGGATGAATACGAAGTGGTTCAGAGCTTGAAATTGAGCTATGATGATGATCATGGAAGAACAAATTGGATGAAGACGAAGTGGTTCAGAGCTTGAAATTGAGCTATGATGATGATCATGGAAGGAGGTATGACATGGAGATGAGGGAAGAGAATGATGAGTGGAGAGAAGACCAAAAGATTAGCAAAATAAATAGAGAAGAAGAACAATAAAGACGAGATAGAACGAATGTGGCGCCAAAATACAAAAAAATGTAGAACGGCGCTAGCCTTGGGCGACTAGGCGCCTACAGTAAAGAAAACCAACAGAAACGCTGGCACCTAGGCACCGCTTCCCGAGAAGAGGAAAAAATTTTGTTTTCTTAATTTTTTCGGCCCAGTCCAACCTCATTTCATGTTAAAATTTTAAGGGGTTATAAATACAAGTTATAAGACCTAATTAAAGGGAGGAATGACAGCTTAGAATACAAGAGGAAGGAGAGTCGATATAAAGCAAAAAAACAAGAGATCGGAGGATAATTCAAACATAAAAGAGTTTTTCTTATCACTTTCTTCTTCATGTTCTTTATTCAAAATTTGATATATTGTTTTTAGTTATTATGAGCTAATTTTAATATTTAGGGTTTGAAGTAAATGATCTTGCGACATGTTTTGATTCTTTTATAGTTAATTCAATTGATTTTTTCATTAATTCATTTGTGTTGATTTTTGCGCTTTGCTTTCAATTATTTGATCAATAATTGAATGATTTGATACTTTAAATTTCAACACTAGAGATAGGAAAATGTAGGCGTGATCTAAAAATAACACAACCTAGGAATTATAGGTTTCGAGAGAAAGTGTAGTTCCTTTGAGGTTTATTTCATTTAAAAGTCTCGTGCTTATAATTTCTATAGCTTTAATTCGGAATAGATATATTACGATTAAAATATAGAAATAGGTTCTATTCAGCACTCGAGTGAGGGAATAGAATTTAATTTGTAATTCTTGCCTATGAATTCTAGAAAAATCGATAGAAGTAACTATATAAGTTCAAAAACATTGTTGATGGTGAGGTGAAATCAATCCATAGGCTTTCTCGAATTGATATTCTCCTTTAAATTGTTTTCTTTCCATTTGAATAATCACACATTCATATTATTTTAGGATAAAAATATTGAACTAAAATTTGGTTTGTCTAGATAAAGCAAAAGCTAAAATAATTATAATACTTGGTAGGAATTAAATTACAATCCCCGTGGGTTCAACATTTTAACTCTATTACTATATTACAAAACTTGATACCGTACACTTACGGTATAATTCAAGTTATAGAAAACGCGCGACAACAGGGTATGTGACTTGAATCTCATATCGAAAGTATAGGCTTTAGGTATGTGATTTATATAAATTTGGGTTCTCTCCTAAAATTTATATCAATGCTATCAGAGCAGGCACCACGTCTTCCTACTGCAATTGAGTGGCGATGATGATGACATCGACATAGCAGTATTCGCTCGAGACTAGTCATGGACTAGTGCAAAAACAGTCTGACGTAGGAGCAGGGATTGCGAAGCTGGGTGGATTGTTATGGTTCCCATCGCGAGGTATGGAACTTGAATCCCACATTGAAAGTATGGGTTTTCAATGTGTGGTTTATAGAGATTTGGGTTATCCAATTTCATTAACTAGCTTTTAAGGTATGGCTCTCCAATGATATCAGAGCAGGCACCACATCTCCCTATTGCAATCGAGCAATGCAGACGATGACATTGGCATAGTAGTGTTCGTCCGGGACTGGTCATGGACTAATGTAAAGCCAGTCTAACGTGGGCATCGAGATCGTTGAGCGTGGTGGATTGTCATGGTTCATATTGCAAAGTATGGAACTTGAATACCACGTCGAAATTATGGCTTTTTGTGTGCGGTTTATATAGACTTGGGTTTTCCAAATTCAACCACTAGTTTTTGAGATATGCTCTCCTAAGATCTAATATAGACCGAAAGTCCATATCTCAAAATCTAGATGTTGAAGTTGTATAACACAATTCTATATAAATTACACATCGAAAGCATGGGCTTCGATGTGGGATTCAAGTCGCATACCTTACAATGGGAACTATAACAATCCACCAACTCCATGATCTCGACTCACACGTAGGACTGGCTTTGCACCAGTCCATGACCAATCCCGAACGAACACTACTATGCCGACGTCACCATCCATGCGCGTTCAATTGCAATCGGGAGACGTGATGCATGCTCTAATAAACAAATTGGATGAAGACGAAGTGGTTCAGAGCTTGAAATTGAGCTATGATGATGATCATGGAAGGAGGTATGACATGGAGATGAGGGAAGAGAATGATGAGTGGAGAGAAGACCAAAAGATTAGCAAAATAAATAGAGAAGAAGAACAACAAAGACAAGACAGAACGAATGTGGCGCCAAAATACAAAAAAATGCAGAACGACGCTAGCCTTGGGCTACTAGGCTCCTACAGTAAAGAAAACCAACAGAAACGCTGGCACCTAGGCACCGCTTCCCGATAAGAGGAAAAAATTTTGTTTTCTTAATTTTTTCGGCCCGGTCCAACCTCATTTCTTGTTAACATTTTAAGGGGTTATAAATACAAGTTATAAGACCTAATTAAAGGGAGGAATGACAGCGTAGAATACAAGAGGAAGGAGAGTTGATATAAAGCAAAAAAAACAAGAGATTGGAGGAGAATTCAAACATAAAAGAGTTTTTCTTATCATTTTCTTCTTCATGTTCTTTATTCAAATTTTGATATATTGTTTTTAGTTATTATGAGCTAATTTTAATATTTAGGGACCCGTGTTCTTTAATTCAGAATTTGATATGTTGTTTTTAATTATTATGAGCTAATTTTAATATCTAGGGTTTGATGTAACTGATCTTGAGCCATGTTTGGATTCTTTTATAGTTAATTCAATTAATTTTTTCATTAATTCATTTGTGTTGATTTTTGCGCATTGCTTTCAATTATTTGATCAATAATTGAATGATTTGATACTTTAAATTTCGACACTAGAGATAGGAAAATTTAGGTGTGATCTAAAAATAACACAACCTAGGAAATTATAGGTTTTGAGAGAAAGTGTAGTTCCTTTGAGGTTTATTTCATTTAAAAATCTCGTGCTTATAATTTCTATAGCTTTAATTCGGAATAGATATATTAGGATTAAAATATAGAAATATGTTCTATTCAGCACTCGAGTGAGGGAATAGAATTTAATTTGTAATTCTTGCCTATGAAATCTAGAAAAATCGATAAAAGTAACTATATAAGTTCAAAAACATTGTTGATAGTGAGGCGAAATCAATCCATAGGCTTTCTCGAATTGATATTTTCCTTTAAACTGTTTTCTTTCCATTTGAATACTCACACATTCATATTATTTTAGGATAAAAATATTGAACCAAATTTTGGTTTGTCTAGATAAAGCAAAAGCTAAAATAATTATAATACTTGGTAGGAATTAAATTACAATCCCCGTGGGTTCAACACTCTAACTCTATTACTATATTACAAAACTTGATACCGTATACTTGCGGTATAATTCAAGTTATAGAAAACGCGCGACAACAAGGTATGTGACTTGAATCTCATATCGAAAGTCTAGGCTTTAGGTATGTGATTTATATAAATTTGGGTTCTCTCCTAAAATTTATATCAATGGTATCAGAGCAGGCACCACGTCTTCCTACTGCAATTGAGTGGCGATGATGATGACATCGACATAGCAGTGTTCGCTCGGGACTAGTCATGGACTAGTGCAAAAACAGTATGACGTGGGAGCAGGGATTGCGAAGCTAGGTGGATTGTTATGGTTCCCATCGCGAGGTATGGAACTTGAATCCCACATTGAAAGTATGGACTTTCAATGTGTGGTTTATAGAGATTTGGGTTATCCAATTTCATTAACTAGCTTTTAAGGTATGGCTATCCAAAGATATCAGAGCAGGCACCACATCTCCCTATTGCAATCGAGCAATGCAGACGATGACGTCGGCATAGTAGTGTTCGTCCGGGACTGGTCATGGACTAATGTAAAGCCAGTCTAACGTGGGCATCGAGATCATTGAGCGTGGTGGATTGTCATGGTTCATATTGCAAAGTATGGAACTTGAATACCACGTCGAAATTATGGCTTTTTGTGAGCGGTTTATATAGACTTGGGTTTTCCAAATTCAACAACTAGTTTTTGAGATATGGCTCTCCTAAGATCTAATATAGACCGAAAGTCCATATCTCAAAATCTAGATGTTGAAGTTGGATAGCACAATTATATATAAATTACACATCGAAAGCATGGGCTTCGATGTGGGATTCAAGTCGCATACCTTACAATGGGAACTATAACAATCCACCAACTCCATGATCTCGACTCACACGTAGGACTGGCTTTGCACTAGTCCATGACCAATCCCGAACGAACACTACTATGCCGACGTCACCATCCACGCGCGTTCAATTGTAATTGGGAGACGTGATGCATGCTCTAATACTATTGATATAGATTTTGAGAGAGTCATACCTCAAAAGTTAGTTATTAAAGTAGAGATCACGAGTCTATATAAACGACACATCGAAAGCCTCATGCTTTCGATATGAGATTCAAATCACATACCTTGCAATGAGAATCGTAACATGTTGAAGTATATAAAATGGAAAAAAAAAAAATTCATCATCTTTCATGTATATGTCATTATCATCATCAATTATCACCGCCAACACCACCATTCAGTTCTTAAAAATTGAAAGTTTGTGCACCACCACTACACACCTAAACTAGTAGCAAATGTCTAAAACTCAAACGTCAAATTTTGTAACCCACGCATTCAGATTTGATTTTGTGAATAGATTTGGCAATCAAAGATCAAACTTTCAAAGTATTTTTTCTCACACATTTTGAGCATATTTGTACACATTGAAAATTTTTGTATACGTGTACTTCATTCGTAAATTCAATCATTAAAAAAAAACTCAAATCAAAATGGAGTGACAGTGGCAATAGGACACAAGGGAATGTGTTGTTGTTTGATGGTCATGTGAGAGGTGACAGCGACGGTCGCTAATCTAAAGGGTGGAATTGACGATAGTGGTGGATGCGGACATCGATGAAATGAGGTTATTGGTGGCGGTGGTGGTTGTAATGTTAGTAGGATAGATGAGGAAGGTGGTTTTTTTCCCCATTTTCTTTATTTTTTCATTGACGGTTCTCCTTTCTCCATTTTCAATTTTCTTTTTGTTTTTCACTCTTCAATATTTAATTCGTAATAGGGTATAATAGTCATTTAAAATATAAATTACTTTATAACGTTCAAATTAGTGGTTTTGTTACATGTGGATTCAATGTCACGGCGTTTAAGAGGTTTAGAAGTTAGAACCTTGCTTTTAAAATTTAGGAAGTCGTTTTCACATTATCGAAAAAAAATTGAGGAGTGCATCCTAATTTACCCTTTTCCAATCTAAATAGGAAAGGAATTTGGTGTAAATGGTCCATAACCTTTTTTCTTTAGTGTGCAAATGATGTCTAATTTGCGCTTCTGCAAAGGTGAGGAACTCAACTACATTTTTACCTAATTAAAATTAAGGAAATATTAATCTTTTTCATAAAGAAGGGATCCATCGTGCACCAAACACATAGGAGGGATGTCCATACCAAGAAACAAAAGTTAAGGATCATCTACTCACTAGGCAAAGGTGAGGGACCATTTGTACCAAATTACTACCCAAAAATAGCATAAGAGTTCCCCAAACTTTGACCAGTATTGCACTTTAGACACCAATCTTGAAAATGGAACATTTATATCCACATCTTTTATTTTGGTAGCACTAGGTCCCTAACGAACATTTTTCATAGCACCAAAATGGACAATTACGATTATCTTTAACTCAAAAGCAAGCGACGAAAGCAAGCGACGATTTCGTCACTACCTTTTAAATGAGACAAAAATAAATAATAAAACAAAAAAAATGAAACAATTTTATTCATAATCGACATCCCAAAACCAACCACTCTCACCCATAATCCTTAAAATCGAGTTAATTGATTAATATGGTTAATTGGCTGTCAAGAATCGAAAACATGCTCTGTTTAGCCCATATTTGGTGAAAATTAAAATTGATTTTTTGTAAATTTTAATAAAAGTTGATCAAATGTGTAGTTGAAAAGTTGTGAGTTCATGTGATTAAAACTAATGATCGACCCTGACTTGAATTAAAATATAATTTTTAATCCATTCGAAACGCTTAGTATTTATAGGTGCAGAGGCGATGGACGATCCTATAATCAGAATATTAGTTGAGAGATAAAGGGTACAATGATACAAAATAATGAGATATGAATGTATATAAACATTCTTCTGAAATATTCAAGAATATATTTCATTATTTTTATCAAAATTAAATTTTTAATAAAAATTATTGGAAATGAATTTGACGAAAAAATAGATTGTAATATAGTCAAATAGGGCAAAATTGCAGATTGCACGCGTACAAGTAAAAAACTAGTATTTTTCTTGATAGAAATAAAAATAAGCTAGTGGTACTGTTAGTGTCGACGTTTGGCCCAACTGTCATCCGCGGTCCAGAAAAGCAGCTTACTTTTGGTGGAGATGCTATGGAAGCATTTCGCTGAAATTGGTGAAATCAAATCTGATCCCCACCTAGATCCCATTACTTGAGTAAATCCCATTTTTTAAATAAATAAAAAAAAAATTCTTCATCTCTCAAATTCGCCAAACGCCGAGCTCTGAATTGGAATTCTCTCGTCAGTTCAATCCAAAATGAGGTTCTTAAAATCAGACCCATTTCACAGGAGTTCTATTTCTCTTTACTTTTCCTTCATATTTCTCGTCTTCCTTTACTTTTCCCCTCCTGTGATTTTTGCTCAGGTATTTATTTTATATATATATATTTTCTCTTTTCTATATGTTGAAATTTTGTTCTTGATATTCTGTGACGTCTTGTTTTTATGTTTGAAATAACTAGGAAAATGGAAGGGAGGAGTCAAATTCTAGAATCAAGGATCTGGGCCGACGAAGTAAAGTGAGTATGCTCTTTGAATAAATGTGATCTTTTAAACTGGCTATTTAGGAGTATCACTAAACTGCGATCTTGGTTGATGAATATTAAAGACGATGGCTAATCAATATCTATGGATTTACTGTTAAAGTTTGATGATAATTTTTTTTTTTTTTTTAAAATTCTGCCGAACAGATTTTTGTCGACAAAATCAAGACAGGTATTGTAATAGATGAGAACGACCCTGATTCTATTAATCTTGGTGTGGAGTTGGACTCTGGTCTTGGAGTATTTGATGCTTTCTTTGCAAGTTTTTCCATGATTCTTGTCAGTGAGGTTAGTGAATGCACTTCTTTAGTACCATGTACCGCCAAACTTATCTTGTTGAGCACTGTTAGTGGGGTTTTCTAATGCTCTGCTTTTGATGGTTCATGGACTTCTCCAAGATTTTGAATATAGTTCGATGAGATACATACTCTGCTTGTTTTACTAATTTTGGATCTGACTTAAAATTCTGGAGTACATATTTTGGCTTATGAAATCAGAATTTCTTTCAGGCAGATAATTAATTCAGTTTGTTGGGAGCTTTCATCGATTATTCCTTGAATATCGTCTAATGATGGCTTTGCTTTTAGATTGGAGATGAGACTTTTATAATAGCAGCTCTCATGGCAATGCGTCACCCCAAGTCAATTGTTCTATATGGTGCGCTAAGTGCCTTGTTTGTGATGACGGTAGGTTAATTTCTTGTCTTGTTTCCTGAAATGAAGTGTATTCATCCCTCTAAGCTCCACTACCTATATGATTTCACCTTTTAGACATAATTCAGCCTTCATGCGTTTTTGGTTATTCGAAACTGCTCTCTGGTGGATAATACTAAGATTGTCCACATTGCACTTGTTAATTAGGTACTTTCGACTGGTCTTGGTAGGATCGTACCAAATTTAATATCAAGAAAGCATACAAACAGTGCAGCTACCGGTTTGTGATCTGTACCTCCTTTTTTGATAATTTACCAGTAAAATTCTTCCTTTTTATGTTATGCTGTTTATCAAACAAGTCAACATTTACTTTTTTAAGATGTTTTTCAAAAGATTTAAAACTCAATATGGCTTATCACGTTAACAAGTTTTTTTTTTTTTTGTGGATTAAAAGAAATTTGAGAAAATTCAACCTTGACATTCCCACGCCTATATATCTTTTGATGTTGAAAGGCATGGAGAGATTGAACACTTCTGTAGTTCTTTCCTTACATTCACGTATCTAGGTGGTGAATCCCATGTAATATTTTTAAGGACAGTATGGCAGTGGTAATTTTCCGCCGTAACTTAAGATGCATTCTTTGACCAAAATAGTTGTATCAACATCTAATGCTTCTCAAATGATGCTTCAACAGAGAAGCAGAACTAGGGAGAAGAGAAAAGAAATATAAAGAGGGAAGAAGGAGGAGAAGGAGAAGAGAGAAATAGGATGAAAAATCAGGGGAAAGAAGACCTTGAAAGAAAAATCTATAATACAATCAATAATTCATCATCAATAGCTGCAATACAATGAAGACATCGATTTCCATTTATAGGATAAAAAAAAATTAAGTAGAATGGAACTCTTAATCGGTATGATGTAGAACAATCCTATTCTAAATAGGATAGAAGTTAGTTATTAATATAGGATTAGGATTTTAGTTCTTTTCCTTTTAGGATTTTAGTTTCTTTCATTTTTAGGATTTTAGTTTTCTTTCTTTTTAGTATTTTAGTTTACTTTTTCTTTTATGGTTTTAGTTTCTTTTCTTCGGGACGTTAGTTTTTTTTTCTTTTAGGATTTTAATTTTCTTTCCTTATCTTGGTAAATTTAAGGAATAAAGGCTTTGTACATTTTTCAAAAAATCAATTCATTATAATCAAATTATTTTCTATGTATTTTCAAGTTTTTCAACTTTGTTGTTTCAAAATATCAATACTGCTTCCGCACCAAAATTAATATCAGAGGAAGTTTTATCTATGGTGATAGTTGTATGCATCCTCACGACATTGATTGAAGAATTGCAAATTACCAACCTTGATCTAGAATCTAGAACAAAGGACTGATATATTCGATGATACATCATACAAGAATTCACAAACTTTGATTGTTATGAATGTTGGTTACTTCAACAAGCTAAGAACACTATAACATGTGGCTAGAGAATTTTCTTGAATCTTAGATGAGTTTGAATATTCACAATGCACCATCAACAACAAAGTATGGAACATGATAATAGACCATATAGTAGTGAGAACATGCATCAAAAGGATTGCTGAAAGCTTTAAATTTGAAGACTAAAAAAACTCATCTTGCTATAAAATTCCACTAGTTAGAAGGGAGCAAAAAATTTAAAATATGGAGGTATGCATGATTCAATTTTCTATTAGAAAGTACTACAAATATGATATTTTGTGTAATGTGGTAAAGATGAATGATTGTTATTTACTTTGTGGACAATTATGGTACTATGTATAGATGCCATTTACATATGTCAAGATAATGAGTATGTATTTTAGCTATACAATAAGAAGATGTTGTCATGTGATGAGCAATTTGCGAATAATAATGTAAACAAAGAGCAAAATATTTATAAGGTAGATTAAAAAGATGTCATTCATATGATCAAGATGTTTTCGACCATTATATTATAATGGAGGTAGAAAAGTATTTGTAATTTGAAAACTCGAGACCTGCAGATCCCCTATACATGAAAATTAACAATGAATATAAGTATAAAGATGAAAAATATTGGGCGAAATTGAAATTGAAGGCCTCAAGTGCTAGCTACATTTTGATAATGAACAAGTTGAAATTCAGAAAAGTCCAACCAAAGAAAAGAAAATTGAACTTGCTATCAAGAATGAGTCAAATGTGAGGCTTGTCAAATTAAGGAAAAAAAGTTTCTTTGACCTATTCTTAAGAAAAGTCCAACTGAAGAAAAGAAAATTGAACTTGCTAGTCACGAATGAGTCAAATGTGAGGCTTGTCAAATTAAGAAGAAAAGTTTCTTTGACCTTTTCTTAAGTCTAAATGCCAAAGAATTGCATAAGCATGAGAAACTTAGTGAAAGAATTGTAGGATTGAGGATGACATCATTAGAAGTAAAAAAAGAATGTGAGTAACACAATGAATTGAAAATTCTAGTGTTTATATGTGCATAAAGGGGATTTAAGAATGAGAGATTGAATAAGCATAGTTTCTAAAGGAATGCCACACAGGAAGTGTTCTTAAGGATGAGAAGATGAGCAACGTAGGAGAAAAGTTAATGTCATTAAATGCAATTGCGGAGGATTAAAAAAATGTACATTTGTTAAATATGCGATATGACATAAATTTTTTCGAGTATTTTTTTCCTGCTTGATTAATTTTTTCTTCTTCAACCAAACTCGAGGACAAGTTTTTTTCCAAGTGAAGGAGATTGATGTAGAACAATCCTATTATAGCAGGATTTTTGTCTCCTTTTAAATTGGAATTTTGCTTCCTTTTTAGGATTTTAGTTATCTTTCTTTTTTTATTTTAGTTTTATTTTCCTTTTAGGATTTTAGTTTCTTTCCTTTTTTAGGATTTTAATTTTCTTTTCTTTTAGAATTTTAGTTTTCTTTTCCTTTTAGAATTTCAGTTTTCTTTCCTTATGTTGGTAAAAATTAGGGAATTATTTCACCATATAAACAAAGTCTTTGTACATTTTTCCAAAAAAATAAATAAATCATTATAGTCAAATTATTCTCTACATATTTTCAAGTTTTTCAACTTTATTAAGAATTTCAATTCCGCTTCCGCACTAAAATAACTACTAATAAAAATGAAACCTACTAAAATAAGATCTAATTACTTCCTATTTAACCTAATATATCTTCAATTCCTCATCACCAATACTCTTCTTTACACTTAATTATCCTAACAACCAAATCAAAAAGGAAAAACCCCATCTCTTTTCAAATTCACTTCACGTGAACCCCACACTCAGCTGTTTACTTCATACCACCCAGCCCAGCCCTTCCATCCCCCACTTCCCATCGGCTAACCTGAAATATTTGGTCCACTCCTAACATGCCTCTGTCATGTAATCATACAATGCTATTGCTGCCGGTGAAGACAGAACATTGAGGAAATCCCAGAAGATATAAAGAACTGATAGTTAGCAAGTTCAATGAGCTTTGAGGCCATTCGGTTTGACTCAGATGTTAAAAAAAGTTCTGTCATAACAAATGAAGAAAGGGAAATTCAGTCCTATTCATTTTAGTTGTCTCTCATCAAGAATAGCAGAATACACTAAATAACTTGTTTTACTATTTCAATTATTTCTTGCTAAAATAGTTGAAGAAAAGAACAAATAGTTCTTGTACTTAAAATTAAGATTTGAAAATGAGTTGATGAAATTGAGGTCTGGCGAATCAAAGGAGGGTGGTGGTGCGTGGCAGTATGGTAGTATTGTTGGAGGTCTGATGATAGGTGTAGTAGTGAGGAGGAACCGGGGGTGGGTGGGTTGGTGAAGACAGGAGTGGTGAATGAAGATGAAGAAAACAGGAGTATTGATGAAGGAGAGGATGTGGTTAAATGAGGGAGAAATTGTGAGTGGGTTTCAGTAATTGGTCTCATAAATATTAGATGTTTCAAGGATTGAGACTAGAAGTACCATCTAAGGCTATTGAGGAAAGTTCCTACAACTGCTTTACTCAAATTTTATTATTGGTTTTTGACTGATAGTTCTGCCTCTTTTAAGCTGATATTCTGAATTTGGCTTTTCATCTGGTTGAAATTTGATTTGCTTGAAGCCCCTTCTCAGTGTGCTTGTGTACAAAATTTCATAGCTATAAAATGCAACGCTGCTGTTATTACACAATCATGTGGCATGTTGACAATTTTAATTGCCTTTTAATGAGAATCAGAGAACAAACATTCTGCTTTCCAGTGTTTCATATTTTGTGCAGATAACTGCTTTCTATTTATTCTGCTATCGGATCATCAAATTTGTTATGAATCTAAAAAGATACCCTCTTGCAGTTCTTTATGCCTTTTTTGGGCTCCGACTGCTTTATATCGCATGGAGATCGGATCCAAAAGCCTCACAGAAAAAAGAAATGGAGGAAGTATGTTTTCCTAATTCAGAACTTGAGATGTATGTAGTTATCATATCTTCCAATGTGAAAGACCACAATTATATTTATTCTAGAGCTGATTTCAGTTCTTAGTTGCTGTGTGCTTTTGTTTAAATGCACTAGTGGCACTAATGCAGTGTTTTCAGAAGTGCCCAAGGATTACAGCTTGAGATCCGCTTCTTGAGGCATTCTTTATGAGCCTTAAAGCTCATCTTTTTTAATATCCTGTTATCAGGCTTACTCCTTAACTTACTGGCACATACCTCAAGGCATAAGTGTTAGGGCAGCTGAGGCGAGCTTTGCGTCTGCCTTGTGTAGTCTATTTTTGCTACTAGTCTCAACTTTATATTAATGCGTTCATTAGGAGCCTTGGAGCTTATGTTTTGACTGTAAAGCTTATGCCTTAACTTACCAAGGCACACACCTCAAGACTTTTAAGCATTAGGGCAGCTGAGGTGAGCGCTGCATAGTCTGCCCTTTGTAGTCTATTTTTTCACTTAGTCTTGATTTCTTAAGCTGGTTTTTGTAGCCTAAAATGTTTTATGGGTTTTTGACTTATTTTACACTTAGATTAACCTTGAAAACTAAAAAAAGTTGGATTTTAGAGAAGAGAATAAGAACCACTGCATGCCCAATGCTCTACTCCTACAGTTGAACCACTGCGTGCCCAACCCTCTACTCCCACATTTAAAGTGCGACCCCCAAATGAAATTTCAGCTTTTCGGCAGGTTACAAGTGACTGGAAACCTGCAACACGTAATTTTACATGTCATCTCTTTTTTATTTTTCTTGTCTCAGTGTTATTCTTGTCTTCAGCGTTTCTTTTCCTTCAACATTAAAGCGAATAATTAGTCAGTAGTTCATTTATTTAGGACTTTGGCATTGTGATAGTGGTTTTATCATTGCTTGCACTGCCTTTTTAAAGGGATTTGAAGATAAAGTTCTGTTGGAAACTTTGTTTTGCTCGTGAAAGTGTCTTCGTTGGTTTTATATTAGTGTACACTTATCTTGAAAAATGGAATTTGGGGCAGAAAATGAGCTTATTTTGATTCAAGGGTTAGAAGTCTATTGGCATTAGAAGAGGGAGGGTACCTTTCTCTCTCAGGTTCTCTTGATTAACTCTGGATGTTGCCGAAAATTTAAAGATGCTTCTCATTTCAGTATCTAAATCCTGTTTGTTTTCCTTGGAATCTCCCATATGATGCATGGATCAACTTGTAAACCCCCCCCCCCCCCCCCCCCCCCCTTTCCTTTTTCATAACATGCTGTGGAAATGGCCTGACACTGAATATGTCAGGTAGAAGAGAAACTCGAAGCTGGACAAGGGAAAACAGCATTCCGACGTTTCTTTTCTAGATTTTGTACACCAATCTATTTGGAGGTACGTTTTATTGTTACATACTTGAAGCAATACTGTGCTTTTTTATTTTGTTGTGTTTTTCAAGCTGATAAAATTCTGTTGGATCCAGCATTTACGGAATCGCTCTCATTTTGTTGTTTCCTTTCTATCATGACATCAGAACATCTGGAAATCAAATTGCAAATGACTAATCAGTTTTTTTCTCTTCCAACAACCTTTATGTGCAGTCATTTATTTTGACATTTCTAGCTGAATGGGGAGATCGTAGCCAGATTGCAACAATTGCTGTAAGATTTTCTTTCCCTGCTGCGAAGTTTCTTTGGGTTATGAATTTGTGGATGATCTTGAGCAAGCTCAACTTGTTCATTAATCATGGATCCTTTTCTTCATTTCTTTTCTCCCATTTCTTGCTAAAAACCACAGCCTAATGTTTAGGCAATCTTTGTATCGCGAATACCATGAAAATGAATTTTAAGATATAGTTTCCCCTCACAAAATTGGATATCTTTAAAGCCCGTTCAGTTAAATTGGTGTCATAAAGTGTGGTCACACCATCCAGGATTATGCTTTGCTTTCGTCATCCTTTCGCACTAGATGTAAATTATTTATGTAGTCATTGGTGGCCTTTAGGTGCATACTTTAGCATGACAGCTTCTTTTAGGGTGATTACTTTTATTAATTTTACGTACACTAGAATGCATGAGATGTTCAATGAACAATACGTAGTCTCTGCAATTTTCTTGGTGACATGTGATACTCAGCATCTTTCAATTGATTTGAATCGTCGAAGAAGTTGGTTTGAT